AAAATTAATAGTTATTTATTATACAAGACGGTAAAAAGATGCTTTACCTGTCAGTGGAAAATGTTGATTCACGAGCGACGAAGGAGCGAGTGGATTAATTCCACGAACAGGTAAAGCTTTTTACCGTCGTGTGTAATATTCTATTTTATTCTTGAGCAACTTTTTATTTATCATAATTACTAAAATCATAAACTAAAATGTGCTAAAATTTTACATAGATTAGGACAAGTTGACAAAGTACCTAACAAACTGACACATTTCTGGTGTCAACCATGCAACATAACAGATTTCTGTCAAAAACACTATAATTATTATAAAAGATTTGAACAAGTGGGTAAAATTGACGTATGAGTGGGTAAAATTGACAAATGAGTGGGTAAAAATTGTTCGATTTTACTACTTCGAATAAAGTGTTACTTTAACAACGAGTTTTGAGTCGATAAAATGATAGTTTACCATTCGCGATAGAATAAAAATCGTTTATTTTATGTGTGGATGCGGAAATTGGTAAAATCATCGAGTAAAATAATTGATCTGATTTTAAAATTTACTAAACATGATGGAAAAATTTCCTTGAAAAAGTTGAACAGAGGAAAAAAATTATTCATTATTGTGGAGGAATTGAAGTTAATTGTTAATTTATAGTACACGTAAAACGTAAGACTATAACACAAAAGTGAAAAAAAAAATTGGAAACTAGAACGTATTGTAAAGAATGTTGTAAAGTCAAAGACACGGTTGATTCTTGTTTTCAAATCAGAGATGGGCATCTACGCGTAAACAAAGATTGTCTACGTCTGGTGTAAACAACGCGTAGACAATATAAACTATGTAATCTATGTAGACAACGTGTAAAATATGTAGACAACGCGTAAGGCCGGATTTTCATGCATCCATTTTCCGACGAAATATGTCCGAAAAATCTTCTATTTTGACATATTTTTATACGATTATGTCAGAATAGAATGTTTTTCGGACATCTTTCGTCGGAAAAACGGATGCATGAAAATTAAGCTTATAGCGTTTTCTGTTGGTAAAACTCGTGCTGCACTCATGCAAAAATTATGTTCTGTTGGCAGTTTCCGAGCGGGTTTTTATGTTCTATTGGAAAACCAGGGCAATCAATTATTGCCCTCGTGCAACTTCTCCAGCACGAGGTCAGAGAGCTCGTGCCAATATCAGGGCACAACAAAAATGGCGTAAAGTGCCGAAAAGTCTGTGTATAAACAAAACAAACAAATTATGGATATCGATATTGATAAAATTCTATATTTTTTATCTTCGTCGAGCGACAGCGATGAAGAGGAAGAATTATTAGGTCTGTTTCTGCAGAAATCACAAACCAGTCAGAGTGAATTTCATTGGTTGAAACTAGTTTTCTGACTGTTTCTGACTGTTTTCAACCAATGAAATTTACTCTGACTGGTTTGTGATTCCGCAGAAACAGACCTATTATTATTATATACAATCGCAGGCCTATGATGTATCATTTTCTGTTATTTTAACAGCAACGTCAAAATAGAGACAGAAATAGATGTTGAGCCTTAACACAGACGTTGAAATAACAGGACAGGATACATCATAGGCCTGAATGTTTGCCAGGAATAATGAGATACCAAAAATTCAAAATTTTATTATTGAAATTGACATAAAAACTAATTTCAACGCAGGTATCATTGGAATTATTTCTGCACATCTCGGGAGACAGCGTAATTATGTACTTTATTTACGACTAATGTATAATGTGCATATTATATTTGTGATTTTGGCAGTATAATGACATATGTTATTCCTCCAGGGATTAATGACGAGTAGCGGGATTAATGGTCATTATTCCACAAAAGTGTCAGTGTCAAACGTGTAGTGCTTGTGGATTTGTATTGAAAATTATGAGACGGATGAAATTTGTCCATTGAAAATCTCAAATAAATTAATTTGTCGTAAATAAAGTAGAGTATACTACTCGCAATAATGGCTATTATTCCCTCGGAATGTTACTCCCTCGCCGCTAACGCAGCTCAGTTCGTAATAATCCTCGGGAATAATAGCTCTCATTATTGACTCGTGGTATAATCTACTATTACATACAGGAAAAACTTCCGTTTTCAACTTTTTCATACACACAAACGTTTTTAATTTTTATTCCATTGAAAATATCTTTAGGTTAGGTTAGAGATCAGGGATCGTTAAATAATAAATTTGAAAAGAATGACAAAACGCGCCAAATTCATGTTCTTTTGGGATTGCACTAAACGTGAACTGATTCAGTGTTGAGTGCAGAACTCGGACAGCACGAGTTTTACCAACAGAAAACGCTATTAAAGTATACAATTTTTGACAGTTGGCAGGCCTTTAAGGTTATGTTTCTGTTTTTGCCAATGAACTATAGTAGTTGGGGAGCTGGCGTCAAAAACATGAAAGAGTTTTCGCAAGGCGGATATTTTCAAAATAGGTCGTACTTTAGTGCTAGAATGCTAGTGTACAGTCAGCAGTCACAGTTCCGGGACAGCTGGCTCTGGGACGCGGGCAAAGTTGTAATTTTAAGAAGCATCTAAACTGTTTTCACAAAGCTCAAAATTTATAGAAATTTTGCACATTATCTGTTTGAAGGTCACAGATAACGTATGTAAATCGTCAGACTTCTAGTTCGTTGCAAAAAGGGGGTCAGACGTCCTCAAAGTTCTTATTTTATGGCATTTTCTTCAAATATATTTGTCAAATACCTGCAAAAATATATTTTGACAGGACACCGAAGAAAATGCCATAAAATAAGAACTTTGAGGACGTCTGACCCCCTTTTTGCAACGAACTAGACGTCTGACGATTTACATACGTTATCTGTGACCTTCAAACAGATAATGTGCAAAATTTCTATAAATTTTGAGCTTTGAGAAAACAGTTTAGATGCTTCTTAAAATTACAACTTTGCTCGCGTCCCAGAGCCAGCTGTCCCGGAACAGTGAGTGCTGACTGTACACTAGCATTCTAGCACTAAAGTACGACCTATTTTGAAAATATCCGCCTTGCGAAAACTCTTGCATGTTTTTGGCGCCACCTCCTGGACTATAGCTAAAAACTGGAATGCGCACACATTGCCATATCTGCCAAAAAAATGTAGCCATGAAAGACAGATGCCACCATGGGGAATGTTGTTTTTTTCTGTTGCTCGCTGTCATATGACGTTTTCGAAATTTTTGTCATATCTCCCTTCACAGGTTTCATCAATTGGAATACGTGTTGGAAGCAATTTTCGCCATTAAACATAATGAGTGCGACAAAAACAGGTATCCCCTCCGCAGCAGCCGCACTAGGCTTCACGTTCGTCCTTATGTGTTAGCATTCCAGTTTTTGGTTATAGTTCATTGGTTTTTGCTTTGTTCTGTTTTTTGCTTTGTAATGTTATTTAAACTGCAGATAATGTCTAATTTGATACAATATAAATTTAATGCAATGCCAACTTTCAAAAAAATTACTCAAATTTCAAATTTTCTGTTGTCTACATAAGCCGCTTTCCTGCTGACGCTTTTGAGCACGCAATCGAGCTTTTGCGAGCGCAAATGATTCAAGCGCGTGTTCGTGTTCCAGCCGTACTGCGCTTCCAGAGCTTGCTAACTTTTGCGTTTCAAACACAGAACACTGTGCTGCACCGTGCTTGAAGCACACAGCTGGAAAGCGGCTATAGTTTACATAGTCTACATGGAAAAAAGTGGATGTAAACAATACGTAGACAACGAGTAGACAAACCGCGTAAAGTAGATTTCATAGTCTACGGCACATCCCTGTTTCAAATAAAACAAATCAGCTGTTTGACATTCTTGTTCCGACCGTTCCGGTCGTTCGTGTATTAATTTTTCACGCGACAAAAATCTGTTCTTACTCCACTCCAACTCCAAGCTGAATAGCCGAACAGTATTAGGCGATTCCGGCAAACTTTGGTTGGTATGCCATTTGGTTAACCAATTGGTACCTGCAACCTGCAACGTCATAGAAATGACGTAAGACACCATTTTATTCCGAATTTGTTTGGTAGGTCATGTCATGAGAGAGGGTTAGAGACGAGTCTTAACTTAACCTAACTTTTTGTTGTTCCTCTAGTTTTGGGAGTGACTAGGTACTGGCCGGGGATTCTAAAATCACGATTCGACATACGACTCGACAACGAGACGATTTTTCCGACGATTCTAGGTTAGAAATCTCATTGGAATTGTACCTTTCGAGACGACAAGGCCGGTATCGTTATCGAGTCGTGTGTCGAATCGTGATTTTAGAATCTCGGCCCTGACTGCACTGACTAAAATCTATAATCACTAATCAGCACTGTCTAGACAGTACCTTCTTTGAGTAACCTATTGGCTAACTCAGCGTTTTCTGTAAATGTAAAGCTTATTCCATAATCCATTCAGCAAAAAAGTTACCCCATATCTGTCGTTCAAAGCCATTTTTCAAATGATCGTTAAACATTATTTGGCAGTCAAAACATACGAGAAAACAGGAAGATGAAGCCGAAAAAAAAAAATATTTGTTAAAAATTTCAAATTATTCAAATTCTAATTAGCTTTCATTTATTTACATTTCCCAGAGCAGGACAAAACGAAAATAGACGTAGATAGATAGCACTATACCCAAATGAGAAGAACTGTGCTGCTGACCACGGTATCCTATTTGACCATTATTTGACAGACCAAAAAGGATACCAAAGTCACGGTGACGACATTATTTTCTTATCCGAAATTCCCCTCGTTTTTATTCTCATCGGTGACTGGCTATCTTTGTTTAGTGAATGGAAAATGACAATGACGGCCAAAGAATGGTGGATCCATCGGTAAAATTTGATGAGAATAAAAACGCAGGGATTGGTTGGTATGCATTTGACAGACCAAACAGGGTACCAAACCATGTACCAAAGCTTGCCGAAATCGCCTATTGTTTATTACTGACTGGTTGGTTGCATAAAAACACCCAAATATCAAATATGACAAATAATAAATAATATGCAATCCCATAAATAAATATAAATAAATATCATATAATGCATATGGGTTATCAACTTCAAAATGAGGAAGGGGACTATTAGTTTTATGTAATTTAGATTTATATTTTGGAATAGAATAATAGAAAATAATTTCAAACATTATTTGCACATGGAAAAAGTATCGCTCAGAAACACTACACTAGATGTGAAAAAATCTAGAAAAATCTGCTGCTATGCGTGGGAGGAAAATCTCTCCTTCCCTGGCTGTCATCTGTTGTTGCAGGAATGTTGAAGTGAAATGTGAAACTGAAAAATAAGCTATTGGAATTTATTATTTAGCAATGCCCAATTGGCACTTAATAAAACCGTCCTCGTAATAAACGAACTCAAGGAATTGTTATTCGTTATTCAATTGCTGACTAAGCTAAGCAGTTTATGGAAATAAAAAGTGCCTTGCATGTTATGATAAAATTGTTTATTTTTGTAACTCGATATTGTGTATATTATTACAGTGTTTTGCAAAAATGCCTTCAATACCAACTGTTATCGAGCCCGATGCAGGTATTAAACTGAGTCACTACTCATTACAGAAAATTTGTCATATAACTAAAATAAATAATTTTTCAGAATGTCGTAGTGTCACAGACAGTATAGGATCGCATTCAGACACATCGGCACATACTAGCGTTACCATGACCAAGCCTCATATGGAAGTAGTGTGCATTATCGATATCTGCCAGAATGAAAATTTAGCGCAGAGGAAAAAGGCATTTGAAGAAGTTAAAATGGCTTGTATTCAAGTTGGAGCTAATGTTTCACATATACAGGTAGAACATTAGCATAAAATTATTAATCCAATTAGTGTAAAACAATTAGGTATTGTCAATAATGTAGGTCTACAAAATTTCTAGTTTACATAATAAGGGTTAAGAATAAAGGAATAAAATGGGGTTAGGTATCAGGCATAGCTCTCAAAAACTTGAAGTTGTTATTCTCTTGTTTATAAATAATCTATTCTGTGGAATGGTACCTAAGTATAACTTTTTATTTACAATTATTGCATTTGATTGCTCATACTTTCTACTGCTTTCGATAAAGGTGGACAAGACAAAGAAGTACCTACAGAAATCTCAAATGTTCATTGAAGTCTGATTCACAAGCCTTTTAATTATTAATGGAAGCATTATATACTCATTGCTAAGACTTTAGTCCCAACCGAGGGATTTTTCACCTTGTTAATAGGTGTACAAATCACTGGTTAATATATTATGTCAATAGTGTCAATACTATGTACCTAATACCTATTTGTTAATTATGTAGGTAATATATGTCAGTACTTGTAGATATCTAGGCAATATATGTTAATGTCATTGGTTGATATCCATTAATAACATGTAAATACCTGTGGATATGTCAATACCTAGAATACTGGCAAGACAAAATTTATTTGATTTTAGTCTGTCAATAGCATGGCAATACCTGGTAATACGTGATAATATTAGAAAAATACCTGGCAATATGTGGAAATATTTTGTCAATACATGGAAATAGTTGGCAATAACTTGTTATTAGGTACATAGAAATATCTGTTAATTTTTGGAAATATCTCAGTTAGTACTGTTAATCAGTGTACAAATTTTGTTAGGTGAAAAACCCGTCGGTCTCAACACAACATTTATATTTATCTCCATAATCTCCTGGTCTTTTACTGTTTAATTTATAACTGAAAATTATATTATTTTGGCATTTTTCCACCAGTTTTTAAACTTGAATATGTCATTGCCTGAACCCAAGATATTTTGAAATGTTTATTTACTATCAAAATTTTGTATGTCTGTATTGTCAAGTCTTTAAACATGTGAGGTTTATTGGTCTGAAGGATTGGGGGTTTTTTGTCCCATCCTTCTTGCTTGCCTTTGGAATGAAAGTGACTCTTGTCCGAGCTCTTGCCCTTCTCCATATATTATATCCGATCACCATACTGCTTCTGGTTATATCTTCAAACTGCGGCATATTTTCTGTTTTTCTTCTTTGGAGGAGTGCTGGAAAGATCTCGTTCACTCCTGAGGATTTGAGAGGTTCAAATGTATTTACCTAATGCCTATTCAAGCCGCTTATTAAAGAGTACCATTTTTGCTGTTTTCCAGTCCTCCCTGGTGGGCGGTCTGGGGTTCGCTCTTTCCTCACTTCTATTTGTTGGCTTACTAAAGTCCAACAAATACCATTTTAAAGTCACGTGATTTTTCTCTATCCTTGTTGAATACATCTTAAACAGCGGTGATAGTAAAATTGAAAAAAAAAATGGTGTCTAATTATTGTTCATAATATTCTTACCTGAAATAGAATCCGTCACTGTCATCAATTAGTTTGTCAAAGTTATTTTCGAAAATGATACAACCAACAAACACAGCTAATAATTTTGACTATATTAACCTTTTTCCAACTGGAAAAGAAGCAAATAGAAAACGGGTACCCAATTCAGGTCTATAAACCTAGCAGTCCCAAGGTGGAAAAAAACTTCGGGAACTATATAATAATTAGGTGCTTTTTAGGTGCTCCTAATTAGTCCAAGAAAAAATAGAATTGATTAATTATTAACTGAGTTACAGATTTTTTTAAAATTATGAGGGGACTGCTGGCTTTATGTTTACATGTTGGTGTGTCAGAATGACGAGAAAACTTCGAGATCTATATAATAATTAGGTGCTTTTTAGGTGCTAATTAGGGCCTCTAATTAAAAATTAGGTGCTCCACTAGTTTTTGAGAAAATCAAAAAAAACTAAGGGATTGCTAGGTTTATGAAAGCTAGTAAGTAGTCCCCTATAGTGAAAAATATTTTTCCAAAAATTTCTTTTGTATCAGAATTAGGTGCTTTTTAGGTGCTCCTAAATAGTCGAAGGAAAAATAGAATTGATTAATTATTAACTGAGTTGCAGATTTTTTTTAATTATAAGGGGACTGCTGGCTTTACGTTTACATGTTGGTGTGTCAGAATGACGAAAAAACTTCGAGATCTATTTAATAATTAGGTGCTTTTTAGGTGCTAATTGAGGCCTCTAATTAAAAATTAGGTGCTCCTCTAGTTTTTGAGAAAATAAAAAAAAAAAAACAAGGGATAGCTAGGTTTATGGAAGCTAGTAGTCCCCTATAGTAAAAAATATTTTTCCAAAATTTTCTTTTGTATCAGAATTAGGTGCTTTTTAGGTGCTCTTAAATAGTTGAAGAAAAAATAAAATTGATTAATTATTAACTGAGTTGCAGATTTTTTTTAATTATAAGGGGACTGCTGGCTTTACATTCACATGTTGGTGTGTCAGAATGACGAAAAAACTTCGAGATCTATATAATAATTAGGTGCTTTTTAGGTGCTAATTAGGGCCTCTAATTAAAAAAACCTAGCAGTCCCTTAGTTTTTTTTTTTTTTGATTTTCTCAAAAACTAGACGAGCACCTAATTTTTAATTAGAGGCCCTAATTAGAACATAAAAACCACCTAATTATTATATAGATCCCGAAGTTTTCTTGCCATTCTGACACACCAACAAGTAAACGTAAAGCCAGCAGTCCCCTAATAATTAAAAAAAAATTGTAACTCAGTTAATAATTAATAAATTCTATTTTTTCTTCGACAATTTAGGAGCACCTAATTCTGATACAAAAGAAATTTTTGGAAAAATATTTTTTCTACTACCGTGCGTAAAGTACTCACTTTACGCACTATTCAGAAGATGTAAAATTTCACTTCACGCACTAGTGCGTAAAGTAATTCACTTCACACACTAGTGCGTAAAGTAATGTCAATGACAGATGTCAACACTGTCAATTTGGCATTTTTCTGGTAAATTACTTCACACACTAGTGCGTAAAGTGAAAATTCTTCACGCACTAGTGCGTAAAGTATTTGTCCAAATTTATTTTTTTACACATATTTGATTGGTAGTAGAAAAAATTTTGTATGCGATACGTGCGTAAAGTACCTTTTTTCACTCATGTGATTGTCAAAATTCACATTGGTGAAAAAAGGTTCACTTTACACACTTGTTGCATAAATAACTATTTCACTATAGGGGACTACTAGCTTTCATAAACCTAGCAATCCCTTAGTTTTTTTTGATTTTCTCAAAAACTAGAGGAGCACCTAATTTTTAATAGACCGATCTCCTATTACCTGGACTGCGCGCGTCGCTTGTAGGCTGCAGGTGAGCGTCCAATGAGAAGCAAGTTTGTGACAGGCATGCGTCATATTCTTATTCAGAAGCCAGTTCAGAATGAATCGTTCCTTCTTTCTTTGTAACGTGTAATTTGACAAAGAGCAAACTAATACTTTACATATTACTTGAACTCACCGCAGTTTCATTTAAGATTATGTTAGATTATACTTGACATATTCCTTTGCAATTTCATTGAGCGATGTTGCCGGATGAAACATTTATCAAAATAAAAGTGCAAACGATGTTCATCCACTTTAAAGCTCTTCTTTTGTCTGATTTAAGGCGTTGTAAAACACTCGACACTATATCACTTCTTCAATGTTATAATGTTCGGTTTGTATTGTCTACATTTGTTCTGCAACAATAAAATCTGGCTACACTGCAGCCTACGAGTTGCGCACGCATGTCATCTTTTATTGCTTTCTAACTTGTATTTATTACAATTAAGCTCTCTTTTTCTAATCATGCGAGATAGGTCTATTAGAGGCCCTAATTAGCACCTAAAAAGCACCTAATTATTATATAGATCTCGAAGTTTTTTCGCCATTCTGACACACCAACATGTAAACGTAAAGCAAGCAGTCCCCTAATAATTAAAAAAAAAATCTGTAACTCAGTTAATAATTAATCAATTCTATTTTTTCTTGGACTATTTAGGAGCACCTAAAAAGCACCTAATTCTGATACAAAGAAAAAATTTGAAAAAATATTTTTTACTGTAGGGGACTGCTAGCTTTTATAAACCTAGCAGTCCCTTATTTTTTTTTGATTGTCTCAGAAACTAAAGGAGCACCTAATTTTTAATTAGAGGCCCTAATTAGCACCTAAAAAACACCTAATTATTATATAGTTCCCGAAGTTTTTTTCCACCTTGGGACTGCTAGGTTTATAGACCTACCCAATTCAAGTTCAGAATGTATTACAACAGACAGCAGATGTGACAAAAGTGAGTCTCGCAACAATTGCAAGTATTAAAATTCCCATCTGATTGGTCAATACTACTTCAGAAACGCGTTTGTAAAATGCTAGTGGGAACATATCCTAAAATTCAATAGTAATTAACCACCAGTAGCTTTTTGTAGGTGATATCAACGACATAATCAAATGGACGTACGTTTTTTGCCACCAATATCACGTGACTTTAAAATGGTATTTGTCGGACTTTACCTGGAAAGTGTTTGCTCAGAAAAATGAGCGCACGCTCCTATTCTTCTTCCATGTTGGTACCATCTGGCTTTTCCAGAGCCATTATCGAACTTGTTCCCCCTATGGCCATTGCCTTGTGCAGTCTAGCAGCGACTGGAGTCAATGTGATGTTTTCACAGAAAAAATTGAAGTTGTTTCTTTTTGCCTTCCTGATTTCTTGGTCCATTCCTCGGTCCATTGTCTGCCCGAGTGCTGGAAATTCACCGTTATTGGTCCCTGGTCATATATTCTGAAACACAAGTATAATTTCATATATAGTGTTCACCTTGAAACTTTAAATAGCATAGCACAGACTTGGATTTATTTATTGCTCTTTCTAATATCGTTTTTCATAAACAAAAATGTCTGAGGGCGAGGGCGATGACTTAACAGCTGATCCAGAGAATTGTGTTAACTGCAAGAAAAAAATTATGGACCAATTTTGCATGTGCGACCTATGCCTGAGCAGAGTACATAAAAATGGTACAAGCTTATCACCTTCTGAGATTAAGTGTATGCCCCTGCAAAAGCGAACACTGCTTATGCTGTGCTTGGGATATAAAAAACACTCGGCCAGAACTCCTGAATTGCTAAGTTTGATGGACTCAATGAAAAATGAGCTTATTGAACTGAAAACAGAGATATTGGACCTAAAAAACACCTCCAAACAGCAAAATATCTATGAAAACTCTTACGCAGGTATGATGAAAAGAAATGCAATGAAGTCGAATGAGGGAGAAACACCTCCTCAAATACATACAACACTAATAATCAAGCCACCAGAGGGACAAGCCCCTGAAACAGCCATAAAATTGATTAAACAGAAAGTAAATTCTGCCGAAATAAATTTTGGCATAGGGAGTATAAAGGATACAAAACAAGGCAGTATTATTGTGAAATGCACAGCGAAACAAGACATAGAAAAATTCAAGAACACAGCAGTACAGAAACTGAGCAATAACTACACAATGAAAACTCCCTCCAAACAAAACCCACGAATTAAAATAGTTGGTTATACTGGAGAGCAGGAATACAAAGACATTGAAGAATGTATTAGAAGTCAGAATAATTGGATGGTGTAAAATGATGAATTTGAAGTAACATATATAAAACAAATCACAAGTAAAAACCACTCGAATATACTCATGGAATGTTCACCTGGAACGTTTGCCAAGGCCATAAAAGTGGGCAGGATTTACCTAAACTACGAAAGGTATCCTATATATGAAGATATAAACTTGAGCCGATGTTATAATTGCCAAGGCTATCACCGCTCGAGTAGTAAATGCACTAATAAATTAGCATGTGGAAACTGCTCAGGAAATCATGAAACTACTACATGCAGAAGCACATACAAAAAATGCATAAACTGCTTAACGGCAAACCATAAATATAAATTAGAATATGACACAAGCCACAGCACATCTGACATGAAATGTCCGTTCACAGATTACCATTAAAACATTATGAAGAATCGTGTAAACCTAATGATGAGCGCACAAGTTAATGAAGTATTAGAGGCATTGAGCATTGATATGACAAATGGACAATTAGTAGATAAAGACTCATTTTCAAGCAAACTGAACCTACAAAATAAAGAAATTAGCGTGCTCCATATAAACATTAGACGTGTTCACAAAAACTTTCTTAACTTTTTACTTATGATGGAAACTTATAAACTACACTTTGTAGATATATTTGTGTTAAGTAAAACCTTTCAGAATGTATCAGTTGAGCAGTGCAATATTCATGGATAAACCACATACTATAATAATGCAAACTATAACCGAAATGGCGGTGTCCTAATGTTAGTGAGGTCAAATCTTGATGTTGAATTTACTCCCCATAAAACAAACAAATAATACATGCGTAACCGAAGCACATACGGGTGCTGCGCACCCAGGTGCTTTTTTTCTTTGTAAAAATTGCTGTCGAGAATTGGTGAACATGTAAACTTTACTTATAGTTGTAAACTGTTATTGTATTACATTATTAATAAATTATTGTATTGTAATTTATTTGTGGTACAGTTGATGAATTTGTTCCTGACAATCCTGGAAAATAAATTTAAAAAAAACCTGTCCAACATTAAAGTTGGGTGAAACACGCATTTTTTGTCATGGTATCCTGAGATGTCTTATCTTTTGGTGTTTTTCTAGTTTGAAAAACTCGATTTTGGAGAAGCAAATGTGGTCAGCAGTTTTTACAATGCAGATGTGATAATTATCGATATATCATTACCAATGCAACAGAGTACACTAATATACCATTTAGGTGTACGGGAAAGTTTCAATATGAAGCAGAATATTTTAATTTACAATGATATAGATCCTGAAATAACTGTTCGACTTAAGGTAAGATAATTATAAATCCACAAGAAGAAATTGTCGAGATATGAACGTGTACATAACAACAACTAATGCCGTCTCGGTATTTCATTTTTGAATCTTCATCATCTTTAATTTGAAACCAGGGCTAAAGTACTTGGCGGAGTTATAAATCTTCGCTTTGAAGATATATACAGTCAACACAGAATTAATTTGAAACTCATTAAAAACTATCAAACACACCACCAAACACTTTTCTCAGTGCCAAGATATTATTCATACTGTTAGTGTTAGGTAATTTAAATGTTTTTTGTGATATGTTTGATATTTTATAATAATTTTCAGTCGATTGTGTTTTGAAATAATGTTCTTTCGAAGTGGATACCTGTCTTTAGCCCACTATTTACATGAGAGACCACAACAATACAATACCCATACATGGAACCCCAGAAGGGTTTAAAAATATTGAAGTGTTTGAAAGTTTTGTTTAATATCGAATAGTATCTGGACAATTTCTCTTGTGGTATAACTATAAATGTTAGACTAATTTTTGTAATCAATATTTTTCAGTTGTCATGTTCAAACTATCCCTTTGTTTCATACAAATTAGCTGAAACGTCATGTTTAACTACAGGACTAACCGACAGAGGAGAAGAGATAACGGAATTTTTGCATCAAAAATTGAAGAAACTCTTGCAAGATGTAGAAATTCAGAGCAAGTGAGTTAAATACAGAGTTATTTTTTGTGTTACAATATGTACATTTTAGGGCACATATGAAGGAAAGATTTCTAGTTGACCTAAAAAAAATTAATGAAATTAAATCATCTGGACCAAATAAGAAGGAGGCATTACAAAAAATTGTAAAGAGACTAGACGATCCTAATGTTTTATCAGGTGATACAGTTCTTAATGTCCTCCTGAGTTTCAGAGATATTCAAGGATATGAGTCTATGATTCATCTTGTTGAAGAATTGAAAAAAGTACCAGCTGCTCAAAAATATCTCAATTCTTACATTATATTTTTATACGCATTTGCTCTGAATAGAAGAAAAAATGACGGCGACAGAGAAAAGGCTTTACAAGTTTGTATTCGAGCTTTGCAAAAGGTAGGAATTTGCCTAAAAATTCTTGAAATTATCACTTGTTAGATTTTTTTTTTAGAAAGAAAACCATTTTCCCGATATGTTGTGTTTATGCGGGAGAATCTATAAAGACAAATTTACAGAATCTAATTATACAGACCAGGAAAGCTTAGATCAAGCTATACATTGGTATAAGAAAGGCTTTGAAGTGCAACCCAATGAATATGCAGGTGAAGAATACTTCCTAAATTTTTACAATTCAAATTTTTAACAAAAATTTCCGTTCCAGGAATTAACCTGGCAACATTGCTTGTTATAAAGGGCGAGGAACTAAGCAAATCTAGCGAATTGCAACATATTGCTATTGTTTTAAATAGCCTCATAGGAAAAAAAGGAAGTTTGGCATCCTTAAAGGATTATTGGGATGTTGCCACTTTTTTTGAAATTTCTGTTTTGGCCCAAAATTATGCCAACGCAATAAATGTAAAACAACTTCCACTATTTTTTGAATAAATTGCTTATTTTTCTTTTCAATATTATTCAGGCGGCAGAATATATGTTTCGACTGAAACCTCCCGATTGGTATCTTAAATCCACCATAGGAAATATACAGCTGATTGATCGATTCAGGAAGAAAAAGGAAGAAGACATTTCAGCAGAGGAACAAATTTTTTACTTTTGGATGGATTTTTTTACAGAGGCAATTAAGTTGCCCCACCAAGTATGTTCGGATGGTCGGTTTCCTGTTTTAGTTTTTGAACCCAGCAAAGAGTATATGCCCAGTCATGTTTGGATTAATTTAGGCGCAGAACCACAAACAATACAAGTAAGAACAATTTGTATTGTACATATCTAAATATATTCTATCCCTCCAATCCCTCAGGTCCAGCAGTGGCTTAGCAGATTTTTATCTTTCTATGGCTCTTTGTAGCGATTTTTCGATAATTCCTATTGTATCCTATTGCTGTATGGGAGGACAGGAACTATACACTGATTGAAGTTTCTTTTTCCAAAATATTGGAGAATTTTCTACATCATGTTCAAGACAACCTTCTCTTCACCTTTGTCTAATTTTTTTATTTGGTTTTATAATTTGTCCTAGGTAAAATCATATTCACAAGATCAAAATTATTCAATTGAAATAAATCTGTTCTGAAAATGATCAGAAAGACACAGGAGCCACAGCTCTAAGAAATCCTGAACAAAATTTATGAATTAAATATTTATATGCATTATAACTGTTTTGAGAATATGATTTTACGTTAATGCATTATCAAATAAAAAGCCTTTGACACCTTGGTCACCTTGGCCTATATATAAGTACAAATGAGATATTTCTAGGACCTATGGATGGATATTCTTTTTTTCAGCTAACCAATGAATGCCTTAAACGCCTAAAATTACAATGTACAGAAATTCACGATTGGGAATTTACAGCTGACGATATTAGAAGTTTCAGTTTAAATACACAAGACGACAGATCATTATTTCTTTATGTCTTGGCCATATCGGATTGCTTCCAGATGTTTTTTCCCTCAGAAGCATGCAGGTGAAATCAAGGATTTAAAAATTTAAACAGTATTAATTAAATTTGTTCTTTTTAGAAGCGTATTTCATGACCACTTGGTAAATTTCCTCAACTATCAGGAAAGACCATTAGAGCCTGAACCTCTTCAAGAAATTCATTGTGAATATGACCGTGATGAGCAAGGAAGGAAGAAACTATTAGGTAAAGGAAGTTATGGAGTCGTATATTCTGCTTTAGATTTAAATAAACAAGGTAATCATTGAAATAATTTAATTTTTAATCTGTTTTCATAAAAATTTCGTCTTACAGTTCGTATAGCAGTCAAAGAAGTACCTGAAAAAAATCTGGGAGCAGTTCAACCTTTGCATGAAGAAATTAGAGTTCACTCTCAACTGAGACACCGAAATATCGTTCAATATCTTGGATCTCTTTCGGAAGATGGTTTCTTTAAAATATATATGGAACAAGTTCCTGGGGGATCCTTGAGTGCACTTTTGAGATCCAAATGGGGCTCGTTACAGAAAAATGAACCCACTATGGCTTCATATAGTAAACAGATATTAGAAGGGCTGAAATATTTACATAGTCACAGGATTGTGCATAGGGATATAAAAGGTAAGTGTGGGCTATATATTGCATCTTATGCATTTATTACATACATAATTATTTTAGGTGATAACGTTTTGGTGAACACCTATAGTGGTGTAGTGAAAATCTCAGATTTTGGTACATCAAAAAGATTAATAGGTCTGGTTCCTACCACTCAAACGTTTACTGGAACAATTCAATATATGGCTCCCGAAGTTATTGACAGGTTAATTAACTTAATGCTTCGATATTTGAATAATCATTAACATTTATTCTATTATAGAGGACAGCGTGGATATGCTGCACCAGCAGATGTTTGGTCAATGGGTTGTACCGTTGTAGAAATGGCTACTGGGAAAACGCCTTTTATTGAGTTGGGATCTCCACAGGCAGCTCTTTTTAAAGTATGAACAGCTCCTGAGAATTGGAGAATAATTTTTAATATTTGATGTGTGTTTTAGGTAGGATATCATAAGGCTCATCCTGAGATTCCAGAACTTTCAGAAAAAGCTACTTCTTTTATTCTGAGGTGTTTCGAATCTAATCCTGATAAGAGAGCTACTGCCGAACAGTTATTGGAGGATCCCTTCTTAGGTATGTACTACTTATCTAAATCTGTATTTGAAATGTTTGTTATGTTTTATTCAAATTTAATTTTTGAGACCAGAAGTTCTACTACTGCTACTTGGTTTGAAATTTATCTTATTCATTAATACAAACATGTGGGATAGACAGTGTCTTCTGAAGTCAAAAACCAATTGATGAATTGTTTTTTTAAAGAAACGGTCCTCCCATAGGCAATTCGTAGGACTAGGAAACCATTTAGGGATTTAAACCAAAGAAAAAAATCCATTGCAAATCAATAGATATTATTTTTGTTCCTCTTACCAAATTCATAAAAATATCCACACTATTCCCATTTTTATTCTTTAAAAATAGACCAATTTGTTTTCCCTCCATTTTAGCGAAATGGTTTTTTTACTGGCCACAAGTTAGGCTTTTAATGGGGCTAAGTAAATTCTGAAAAAGTTTGGACTTAATATTGGAAATTATAGGAATATTCTAACTTGGCTGTGACAGCACCCAACTCATAAATTATTATGCTATAAGTAAATTTTTATTTCTTCATAGAGAAATGCTCTCAAGATTTTGGATGGGGTTCCACATTCATCTTTTGGCAGATGATTACTACCGTCCCTCTCAACATTGTGACATGAGTTTCAAAATCGGTACGGGTTTAGAGGTGGAACATATGGAAAAATTAGCTTCAAATTGAGTTTTTATTCTCTTTCTCAAGATTTTGGATGGGGTTCCACATCCATTCCATCTTTTGACAGATGATTACTACCGTCCCTCTCAACATTGCGTCTTATGAGTTTCAAAAAATGAATATCTGCAGTTAGGGAGCATCTGATCCTCGGTCTGATCTTATCTTGTTGCGGCTGATCTTCTACTATGTCACAGAGGCGCTTAGAGTCGCAACAATGAGCCTCATAACTCTGGGAAGGACCAAAGGTGATCCGAAAGTTGTGACGTGAGCAGGACCTAGGAGCTCTAATAATTGGGCACGTCTGTGAACGCCGTTTTGCTCTAGGAAGGCTTTAATTTAAAATTTTCCTTGTTTAAAAAATTCAAAAACCTTAATAGTTCACCCAGTTATTATTTTCTCAAAACTGCATTATATGGTATTTATTTTATTTTGGTTTACTAATATCAATAAATAAAGATTGGTGTATGTATAGTAGGTACTTATATTGTTGTTCTGTCTATTTCTCAAACCACTCCGTCTCCCTCATAGTTCATAGTCCATTTTCTTTTAGTTTGAATGTTTCGTTCATTGCAATGGGCACGTTTTAAATTATTTGCAGCCGGTTAGGGTTATTTATTATAAAATGTGCACTTTCAATTCCAATTTTTTTCTTTCTTCAAATTTCTAAGTAAAACGGCTAAAAATCCAACACCCAAATAAATCAAAAGCGAGTTATAAATACTTATCATTTATAAAGGCCATGTTTGTTGTTTGATTTTCTGGATTTTTTTTTGAATAATTATTAGTGTTTTTTGTGCTCAGTTCGATCTAAGTAAGCAAAAATGCGTTTTAAAAGTGACTGTGTATCCAGGAAATGCTTGTTCAGATGGTTTCGAAAAGGTATAATAATAATTTACATTTACCCAATATCTTTCTTCAGTTTCTATGCGCTATGTTTGTCTATTGCCAAATTCTACAGAATTTATTTTAAAACTAATTTAGGTTTTTAAACATTGAATAGCAGACTTTTTTTTATACCTTTAATTCAATATTCATTGACTTTGTTAACATTTTGTCAAAACAGAATCCTGAAATTTTATTTTTGCTATTTACATAGGGCCTGAAAGAAAGAAACCCCTACGGGTTAACACAGAGTTCAATAGAAGCGTCTCAGTGCCAGTGGATAAAATGGTTCCCAGAATGCTTGCTGGACACTCTAGTGCTCCAAATCAAACTCCCGTAACTCCAGAATCTGAGTAAGAAAATATTTTTATTTGCTACATGTTTTAAAATAATTATTGAGATAATAATGGGATACTTTATTGCACTCAACATTGTTTGGTAAGTTGCCATTATACTGCTTAGTAAAGTTTTAGGCCAACAAAACGCATTGAGCACCAAAACATATTTTTAGTTATTTATTACTAACTTGTAGCTTGAGCTGGCTTTGCTTCCTTTCAATAAAACCGGTCACTCTCATTTAGTAGTAAAACCTTACTTTACTGAACTAGGTGCATTGCATAACGTAACGTAACAAAAGAAAAAACGTAAATCATAGATAGCTATGATTTTTTGAATGTATGTCTTAGCAATATTTTTCTGCAATTTTGTATTGATTGTAATGTCATGTCAAAAATCCTGACCAATGGAGAAACAATAATGCGACTTTCGTTCTCGTAATCCATATTAGAAGAATATTATATTATGGCACTGGCATAATTAGAAGTCATTCGTAATAACATAATGTTTGCTTCAGTTAATCAATCATAACTATGCTAGTTATAGAATTATGAAAATAACTCAAATTTTTTTGAAAGCCGCACTTTGATGTAATTTAATGTAATGTAATGTGCGTGTTGGCAATGTCAGTTGCACTGCGACCTAGGTTATTGATCTAATAATTGTACCCCTATTTCTGGAAGGGGGCCACAGATCAATAGGATTCAGGATGCCTGCTCAAAGCATCCCCTATAGTCCTAAGTAATTTAGGAATCTCAGGATATCCAGTGGTTCCAGAGATGAAATGATTCCTGACTGTTTCCATCTTCACAGAATCTTCTGGTACCGCTTTCTTCCAGCCTCGATTTCCGTAGGTATTCCTTAAGTCTGTAGTGTTTGCCTGTCTGCTTTTTGAAACTTGATTAGCTTTGTCATTTAATCAATTCATAAGGATGCTGCTTTTTTGGGTAATAGATCTTTGGCCTGTCGTGGTCCTGGCTGTTCTAGCCATTGTTTGTTCCTTAGTCGTTTCTCTACGTGTGCATTTTCGAGGCAGCAGATTGGTTCTGGCCCAGTGAAGGAAGTAGAAGCTACCGTTTTCTGTAGGCATTCCTATACAGAGCTGGGCAAGCTACTTGGAAAAAGTAGCTAGCTACAAGTTACAAGCTGCTTTATAATTGTAAGTAGCTAAGTTACTCAGTAGCTCAACTACCTTTTTAAAAAAGTTGCTAAGCTATTGGTAACTCAACTACATATTGAATTAGTGAAAGCTACTATTTAAGCTACTTTTTTGAAAGTTAAATTAATAAAAACAAAAAAACGTGCACAATCGCCACCATCAGTGTACATCTTCACAGAATCAATACATACTTTACCTAATTTAATATCATAATATCATCATACCAAAATAACATTTTAACCTTCTCTAGGAAGTAGAATTCATATTTTTGTCAAAACCACTGGGCATTATTTTATTAGGTTAACTTTGATAGTAGAAACTAGTCTAAGCAAGGCAGGATAAGATTTTTCCGGAAAATGATAATTGTAGCTTGAGCAATTAAAGTATAAAGTTACTTTTATCGAGCGGTAAATTCAACTTACCGCCCGCGTTTGCGGTCGATAAGTTGATCTTTCCGTCTCTTTTAGTAGATAAATCAGCTAGAATTATTTATTATATTCATCCAAGAACTATACCTACACATATTATTACCAAAATCGGTGTGGATGGAAAATATAAAAGTTGGTGATTTTTGGAAGATTTACAAATACAGAAGTTGCTAATTTTTTAATGGAAACGTGCCTTTATATAAAGGGGAAGACTGTTTATTTTTCAAAATGTGTCGAATGGATGCCATTATATTATAGGCTAAGATTATAGGTATAGTTATTCCATTTTTGAACTGGAAGAGTCCGCTGTGCATAAAACGTAATAAGTATTTTGGGCGTTGAGTGTCGTTAACCACACTCTCGGGCGGTGAATGACACTTTCCGCAATTAATACCTAAATAACTATTAACTATCTACCAAAAGTAGCTTAAGTAGCTTGTTTTAGTAACTAGCTACTTTTCACAGTAGCTTATGAATACATGGAACACATTACCAAAAACTACAGCTACTAGCTACTTTTTTTTCAAAGTAGCCTGAATAAGTTATTAGCTACCAAAAAAGTAGCTAAGTTAGTAGCTTAACTACTTGGTAGCTAGCTACTGCCCAGCTCTGTTCCTATACTATCTTGTAATCGAAGACGCAGAGTGTTCATTCTCTGAACATAATGACAATCATCGACGTATTCAAAGCAGGTGGGTAGAGATCATCAACCACCAGACTCCACATCAGCGGTGATAGTTCCCCTTTCTGTGGACATCCTCTAGTTTTAGGTACTAACTTGAATGGTTTGTTCACCTGCGTCAGTTTCTGTAATTCTCATGGCTAGAATTTCGCACATCCATCCAGATGGATATGGTTTTGTCACACATTTGTTTTGATGTAAGTATTTACAAGTATACAGGATGCTGCAATTTGGAGTGTTTCAACAGGAAAAACATACTTCCAGACCAGGGTCCTTATTCTTGAAACAGGGGACCAACGTTCCCAGGAGAATGAGTGTTCCGTCTTTCTCAATGATATGCAAATGTTAATATAAGTAACAAAGAAGGAAAACTCGTTATCCTGGGAACACTGCTCCCCTGTTTGGAGAATAAGGATCCTGATAGAGGAAAATTGACTTGTCATGGGATCGATTTTCGAGAAACGTGAATTGTCAAAAACCGTATCACAATATCTTAAATGGTACCACTGATACAAGGCGATTTTTGATTTTCCCCTATTATGAGCCAATGTGTTAGAATAGGATTTCATATATGTAAGGAAAATGAGGAAGCGTAGTTTCTAACACATTGTTTCTTATGACTGAAACAGATATAATTTTTTTTTTCTCGAAAACTGTTGGAGATAAACTTATCGAACTTTATATCATTGAAATCAACAAACGCAGAGCTATTCAATGAGCTACTAATATATAGGGTGTCCTATTTAAAAAAATCGGATTTGGGTCAATATCTCAAAATGGGAGCGAAATAGAAATAAACTGAGGACGCCACTGGATTGTGATCAAAAAAGTATACCAAAGATGTTTTCACAGAAATAAAAAAAATTGACAAACAAAAAACCTATGGCTATTTTTCATAATACGGAAAAATCGAAAACCGCCCTGTATTAATGGTACCATTGAAGATATCGGGATACGGTTTTTGACAATCGACGTTTCTCGAAAATCAATCCCATGACATCTAAGTCAATTTTCCACCAACCACCATGGTCTCCTCTCAAGGGGTCCTAATTTCTAATTGTGAACAGAAGATCCAAAACCTTCAATCTGAAAATGAACTACTCAAAAGCAGAATTCAGGATCTTGAGAAAAATTCGTCTGTAAACAATGTGGAGGAGTATCTCGCTGAAGCTGCTGATCGTGAAAGGCGCAAATTAAACCTTATTTTTGTCAATGTCCCTGAATCCGACAACGATCCTGCAATGCTCCAAGAATTACTAACGAAAATGCTCCCTTCGCATTCTGTAATCTTTCGTCTTGCTACGAGACTTGGAAAGCTTGGTGCAAATAGACCCAGATTACTAAAAGTTTCATTTAACACTTTTGATCAGGCCTTGTTGGTTCTTAAAAATAAAGGTAATTTAGCTGAAATAGCTTGCTATAAGCAAGTTAGAATAAGGTCTGATCTTACAAAAACGCAAGCAGATAGGCTCTCGTCTCTGAGACAGGAACTTCAAGATCGTAAGTCCAATGGCGAGAACAATATAACAATAAAATATATAAAGAATGTGCCGCAACTAGTGCCTGTGGCTCCATCATCGAAAAGGGATAGAAATATTGCGTTTTCTCCAGAGTCCAGCTCAGCCTCTTCCAATAAGCTGCCGAAGGTGCAGTAGCAGCCAACAATTTTATTTTGGAACATGGACGGATACGCGAATATTGACTGTCTACTGGAAGGAACTAGCTTAACTTGTTTAACCGACATAGTGTGTCTATCCGAAACATGGTTAACTTCAAAACCTGAATTACCTACTTACTTGGCAAATGTTTATAATCTTGTTTATTCTAATGCTGTAAAAGAGGCATCACGAGGGCGAGCAAGCGGTGGCCTTTTGATCTTGCTTAAAAAATTTATGTCTTACGAAATCTTACAAACTTCAACCTGGTGGCTTATTCTTAAAATTTCGTTTGAAAATAGATGTTTTTTACTGGCATTTGTTTACTTAAGACCTAGTTTAGATCTTAATACTTTGTTAGAATTATTGCAGTTGGCTTTTGACGATGCGAGGGATGCTAGCCCGGACGTGGCTTTTTACATCTGTGGCGATTTTAATAGCCGAATTGGCAGTAGTAATACGCTGGATGAGGAAGCTTTGATGGGCTCGCGTCTCTTGCATCCCCGTACATCTTTAGATCCCTTAACTAATACCAGAGGGCGTTTACTGTTGGACTTCGTTACCATCAACAACCTAGCGGTATTAAATGGAAGAACAGTAAATGATTCTCCTGCACAATTCACTTTCAGTAATGCACGGGGAAACAGTACAATCGATTTATTTTTATCAAATGCTGAGGGTTTAAATTGTGTTGAGAACCTGCAGGTTAACTCAGAAATTTTTTCTTCAACGCATTTCCCGGTTTGTGTCGAGTTAAATATTTTTAGAAGCAATATTAGAAATGTTCAAATTTCGCCTCCAATCGTGCAGTCGACACGCTCCCTTCAGTGGAAGGACGATCGCTTGGCTCGAAATACATATCAGCAGCATTTGCAGTTCTCACCACTAGTTATTCCTAATAATGATATTAATGGCTGTTTTTCAAATTTCTGCGCAGCCTTGAATAATGCGGCAGCGGCAGCGAATTTGATTGTGACGAGGTCCAACTCTGGTATGCCTATGCGAAAAGCTCGCCATAAACCATGGTACGACTATCAATGTTTAGATAGGAAAAAACTAGTACGTCAAAGTTTGAAAGAAGCAAAACTAAACT